CCCCCAAAACAGCAGGAAATGAAAAACAAACAAACAAACAAACAAACAAAACAACTTGGGTCTTGGAAGTGACATTCTAATAGTTGACTTGAGAATGACAGGTTTCTAGAAAAGATGATAGGCTGGCACAACCTGGCTTCCAAGATAAGATTGCAGCAGAAGTGCCTACCACTTCCCTCCCATTCTTTTCTCAATTCTACTTTAGACATTCAAGCATCCCAGAGGAAATGCAAGAAGCGGACAACTGGATGGATAGTCACTCTCGAGAAGTTTAGACCTTTGATTCAAAGAAACTTATGGACCTTGGGACAATTATACTACAGATGTAAATGAAAGGCTTTTGGGGGGGGGGGGGTAAAGTGGTCCCAAATAGCCTAGCTTCTTGAATTTAGTTGCAAATATTGTTTTATACAGAACTTTTCCTTGCAGAATAGCTATGACAAGAGATCAATACATTCTCAAATATATACAGCACCCATTCTCTCTACATTCACCCATGCATGTTCCTATAGATGTTCATGCACAAACAATCAATCACAAAGGGTTGAGGTAGGTCTCTGTTCTCACTGGAGAAGACAAATTTCTGAGAGGAATACAGCAGAGCTTGACAAAGCTCAGGCCATTCCAGTGCTACCCTGTAAATGTAAATCTGGGTGTTTTGTAGGAAGAAAAAGTGCTCTTTAACCGCTGAGGCATCTTCCCAGCCCCCAGAGGGTTCTTTTAGAAAGATAACTGCTTCCACTACTTCTCAGTGTTTGGTGCGACCTATGCATCTATTCATCCGTTGTTCATTGTTCACTGCATCCACGAGGGAGTAACCAAAACCCAACAGTTGCACACGGGAGCCTCTACATACCTGTTTTATATCAAAACTGAATATTAGTTTCTAGATTCTGGTTCTACTCCCAGTTCCTGACTTTCAGGGTAATTTCCCAGAGAAGTCAGCAATGCTAGCTCACGGAAACTAATAAGCAGACTGTATTAGGATCATGTCTAGCATATAGGGAAGGTCCAGGAGGGCAACCCCAGACAGGTCTAGCCAAGACAAGCCTGGTAGGTGGGCACTGCCTGCCAGGGGCCAGTGGGGCCATGTGCAGGGCTACATCAGGCCCTCAGGCCAGCTAGACACTGATGGTAAGCAACCTGGTCTCTTAGTCATGGAATGACCAGAAACCTGACTTTATAGCTCAGAATTCACCAGTTATTTTGGCTCTGGCTTCTATGTTCTCATGTATAAATGGAGCCCTCAGGGCTGCAGTGAGACATCAGTGGGACATATTGGACATTCACACAGAGCCTAATTCATAGCATGGACTTTGTCTTGGCCTAGGCCCGAAATGTTCCACAGATGTGTGTGACGGGTAAACAAAGTTATTTTAATGGACAAAGTAAACCATCTTCAGTGGACAAAAGTCGAATGACCTGACAGGTTTCAATAGCAGAATATGCGTCAAGGCAAGAAAAAGGGAGTGTGAAGCATCAGAATCATGCTTCATCTTTGACTCTCAAATTAAGTGGGCGGGCTTGTCAAGATCATGTGGATGCCACCCCTGTGTAGAGAGAGGGGGAGGTCACTAGCTGACATCTCTTAGAAGTTGAGAAGGAAACACAGACCACATATCACAGAGAGGGAGAGGCAGAGGCGGACGTGAGTGAGCGCACTTAACTCTGGAACAGTTACTGGAGCTTCCACATAGGTGAGTCATTTGCTTTTGTTGGTTTTCTCAGATTTCTGCCTGCAGCATGACCTATATACACAGTGCAAGCTACTGAATTCAGATACACATGGCTCTTATCCGCCAGTACCATGATTTCTGTAAGTGTTGGAGAAATATGAAAACAACTTTATTGGCTTTGGCATACAGCAAGTGCCTACAAAAGGAGTAACCAGATCCACCCAGGGACATAAAACAGTTTAGTTGCGGGTCTTCTGTTTTTATCAATAATTTTTCTGTTCTTTTGTACCTTACAAAACAAGCTGTAATTCTCAATAACCGTTCACTTTTATTTTTTTGCAGTATGAAATCATTTAGAAACCACATATACTATAGACTACAGAAAAATAAAAAGGAGATAAATTAAGTGATTTGTAATTCTGCCAGCCAAAGGCCAAATGCTGATGGAGTTTGGTACTTTTTAAAGACTGCAGTCAAAAGTATAAATGTTATCAAAAGCTCTTTAAACAAGAGTCTATAGAATTATAGGTACGGGGGCATTATTTCTCTACAGCTTTAATGAGATTCTCAAAGAGGTTTGTGATCAGAAAATGTTAAGAAGCAAGGCATGGCGGCAATTCCAGCCCTTGGAGGTAGAAGCAGGAAGATGCCATCTATTTCTTGCAACCATGATAGCTTATAACATGTGCTTTTTTTTTTGCATATTTTTCTCATATTTATTCTGTTTTCAGTAACTTCCAAAATAATTAAAAGTACTTCTTAGACATCTGAGTTACATTTTATGCTTCAGATATAATTATGGTTTATCATCGGCCTTTTACATTATGTTCAAAGTTTTATTACTTTTTCATTTGCGTAAGTCAACATCTTGATAGTAAAGAAATGTTCTTAACTTTTTGTACAAGGGGCAGCGACTTGTGCATGTGCATGTATATTTGTGTATTTGTGGGTATGAATGCATACATATGAAAGCAAGTGTCTTTTCTCAGGCACTGTTCACCTTTTTTGTTGAGACAAGGTCTCTCACTGGCCTGAAACTCACTTTGTAGGCTAGTAAGACTGTCTGGCCAGTGAGCCCCAGGAATATGTCTCTGGCTCTCAGTGCTGAGGTTACACGTGTACACCAGCATGCCCACCTTTTTTTTTTTTTTTTTTTTTTTTTTTTAAATGTGAGCTTTAGGGAATTAACTCATGGTTGTAAGGCAAGCACTTTCCTGACACCCATCTCCCCAGTCCAATGATTTTCAAAACTCTTATCTGTACAGTCTAGCTCCTATCTGCCAACATAACATTGAATACAAATCTGTACATTTTCTGAAGAGTCATGCTAAGGTTGTATCCAGAAAAAAATAGGACTACAAAAAGGCAAATACAAGTCAGGTAACAACAGAGAACAGCAAAGCTGTTTATTTCATATTTTAAATGATTAAAAATAAATCATCCCTATGTGAGTCAGTAATATACACACCAATATCTGACCTTATTCTAGCACCTCGGAAAGCTGTGGAGCAGGATGACTAACTCCAGTGTATCAAGACTGGATATCTAGCCTCGAGGTCTAAGCATGGACTGAGTCCTTCCTTGATGGCAAGAAAAGAGATTATGGCTCTAGGGGAGGTAGAGGTTGCAGAACCATCAGAGTGGACACTGCTTCCTCCTAGGACTCAACTTCAGGGCAAAAAACGACCATGCTGATGAAAAGCGGAGGATGTCTTCAACTTTCATATACTCTCACCTGACCAGGGAATATTTCGTCTTGGTAAATCTTACAGAGGTTCTACCCAAACACTTGCTCATCTTAAGACACCTTATAGAACCCACACCAGGACACTGGCAAGGTTAGCCTGTCCCCTACAGTCAGGCCACAGTTACATTATCCTATATCCTCCTTGTGGTCCTTGGTAAAAGGAGAGGGCGAGCAGGGTCAGAGACATGACAGCCATGGAAGATGACGTCCTGGGCAAGAAAGGCAGGCATGTGGCCTTTGCTACAAACCTTCCCAGCAGCCACTTCATGCACCATTCTATTTATTCACGGTCTGAGGCTCCAGCATAGATCCCATAAACTGACTGACAGAGGAGATAAATGGGAAAGGTTGGTTTGGGGAGTCAGGATGACACTTAGTTCCCAGATCTGTTGAAGTTCTGGGCATGCAAGGGTTTTCTTTCCCTTATTCCCCATCAACTGCCCTTCACACTATACAGCTGAAGAAGAGTAAACAGTAAGAACTTCCCAGTCAAACGTAGTTCTTGCCATCCCCCAAGCCCCTATGGATACTAGTAAGGACACCTCCTAGAAGGGGTACTTGACTTGGCTTTCATGATTTTTTGGACAGCAAGTAGGGCGATCTTAGGTTTCTGTCCCTATGATAAAACATCATGACGAAAATCGACTTGAGGGCAGAAGGGTTTATTTCTTTTCACATGTCCTGATTCACAGTTCATCAGGGAAGGAATCGAGAGCAAGAACCCAGAGGCAGGCACTGAAGCACATGGAGGAATGCTGCTTACTGGCTTGCTCCTACCAGCCTAGGAGAGTCCCCATCCACAATGGGTTGGCCCTCACTTATCAATCATTCAGTAAGGAAGTGCACTACACACCTGCCTACAGGCCAACCTTACGGAGACATTCTCTCAAGTGAGAGTCCTTCTCAAGCAACTCTAGTTTGTGTCAAGTTGTCATAAAACTGACCAGCACAGGGCAGAGAGTGGTAGGAACCTTGCTGTGATACCCAAGCACATGGGGGTGGGCCTTCCTGACAGACAGCGGTCTGTGTTTCCAAATAGTTGTGGGGAGAGAACTCAACAGCTAAAAGTACCAGACAGCCTCTAGAAGATCTGGGCTTGAATCCCAGTACCACATGGCTGCGCACAACCATCTGTAACTCCAGCCCCAGGCAATCTAACGTCTTCTTCTGGCCTTGGCGAGCACTACACACACACAGAGTTCACAGGCATACATATAGGCAAAACATCTACACACATAAAATACATAAACACACAAAAAACAAAACAAAACACCAAAGGGTTACTATGTCCACTTGGTTATATGGTTATCTTTTTCTTTTTAAACAATTGAGTGTTTTACGCTATATTCGTGGGAGGCATCTGAGATATTTTTAGGGTTAATGAAGAGTCCCTCATGCTGGATGAGCAGTTTCCCCTGGGAAATGGCCACCTCCAGCACACTGCTATTACTGAGTATGGTAACAAGTGGGGTCAGAGATGATAATTTGTTTCCTAAATTCAGTTAATAAGGACAGTGGGAAGAAAGAACGTCACTCAGACGGAACCAAATATTAACTCTTGGGTTTTGATTCACAGATGCTTGCCACAACAGACGTCATGGACAATGAGGACTATGAGATGGATTCCTGGCTCTTCAACATTTCCATCAGTGACAGTGAGGAACACAAACACTTCATAAAGTTCAAGGAGATCTTTCTGCCCTGCATGTACCTGGTGGTGTTTATTTTTGGACTGGTGGGGAACTCCTTGGTTCTGATTATATACGTTTTCTACCAGAAGCTGAGGACTCTGACAGATGTGTTCCTGGTGAACTTGCCCATGGCTGACCTGGTATTTGTCTGTACTCTGCCCTTCTGGGCTTATGCAGGCACCTACGAGTGGGTCTTTGGCACGTTCATGTGCAAAACTCTTCAAGGCATGTACACAGTGAACTTCTATGTGTCCATGCTCACTCTCACCTGCATTACAGTGGATCGTTTCATTGTCGTGGTCCAGGCTACCAAGGTCTTTAACCAGCAGGCTAAGTGGAAGATTTGGGGCCAGACCACTTGCTTGCTCATTTGGGTGGTCTCCCTGTTGGTCTCTTTGCCACAGATCATCTATGGTAACGTTGAACATCTGGACAAGCTTATCTGTCAGTACCACAACGAGGCATTTTCCACTGTGGTTCTAGCCACACAGATGACTCTGGGGTTCTTCTTGCCATTGCTCACTATGATTGTGTGCTACTCAGGCATCATCAAGACCTTGCTTCAAGCTCGAGGCTTCCGGAAGCACAAATCTCTGAAGATCATCTTCATTGTAGTGGCTGTGTTCCTGCTGACCCAGACACCGTTCAATCTTGCCATGTTAATCAGGAGTACAAGCTGGGAGTACTACACCATGATCAGCTTTCAGTACGCCATTCTAGTGACAGAGGCTATAGCATACTTTCGGGCCTGCCTGAACCCTGTACTCTATGCCTTTGTTGGCTTAAAGTTCCGGAAGAACCTCTGGAAACTTGTGAAGGACATTGGCTGCCTCCCTTACTTGGGAATTTCAAGTCAGGGGAAGTCTTCTGAGGACAGTTCCAAGACTTGTTCTGCCTCCCACAATGTAGAGACCACCAGTATGTTCCAACTGTAGCTGTAGTAGGCCTGGCCAGACTTGGAGAAGCTAGCATCAGAATTCTTAGGAGCATGGCTATGAACTTTGGATGCAACATGTGGACTCTCGTGGAGAAGTCACCAAAAACTACAGCTGTGTACAAAGCTTCTCAGATATAAACATACCCTGTTCTTAATACCTAAGCCTCAATATTCAAAGGAGAATGTCTTGAGATTTTTAAGCACCTTTTCTCTTCCATCCTCAAGAATGCTAACTCTAGAGATTTCAGGTGTTCTTTTACCAAGTTTGGGGCTAAAAGTCGAAGAAGAGCTGCATCAACAAAGCTGTTGATGGAAGGTAACATGAAGGTTCCTGGGTTCAGAAGATTCTTCTATAGGCAAGTAGTGGATAGCTGAGAAATCCCCACATGCATGCTGGTCTATGTGGCTCAGACCTGTCACCAGGCTCCTAACAGGACGACACCAAGTTCAGATTCTTCCAGAGGTCTGACTTGTGTATTGGTAGAGGCTTATATTTTCTTGGATTAGTCCTTGAAAGTGCAGCATAAGAGACTGAGGATAGGCTAGAATAAATAGCTGAATTTCAGTGGTCCACAGAATGCTAAAAGACGTGCAAAAAGGAGGTTAAGACTATAACAACTCTAAGCAGCATTATTAAAGGGACTCCGGTGGCTTTGCTCATCTTAAAAAAAAAAAAAAAAAAAAAAAAAAAAGTGGAACTTTGCAATGCCTGCCACACTATATCAAATATTATGAGTTTCATGGCTAAGAAATAAAACCTTTTAAAAGTTTTCAAACTGCTTTCATCTTTAGGTACATTCTACTTTAATTTGGTATACCTGGAACACAAAACAAAATAAACCCTCACAAACAGCACAAAAACAACCCAGGTAACTTCTAGGCTTGGAATAAAGGAGTTAAACTTTAGGGCCAGTGGTCAATGAAGGAAGTAGACTATACCAATGGTTAACAATCTTGCTTTCACAGTGGTTTCCTGCTCCTGTCCAAGATGTGGGATGCGTTTGTTTAACCCTGTAATACTGCTCCAAGATGAGGGAATTTTACATGCCAGACTGGATTGATGTTGACTAGATCCTGACAATCAGGAGAATAGCCCTATGTGTGTTTGTTGGGCATTTACACCACCAAATCATTTACCTAAATATGAACATCTGCCTAAAAAAGGGTGACCAGAATGCACAGGGGGTTAGCTAACCCTGGGCTCAGGGGCTGGGAAGAGCAGCCTAGGGCTGTCTCCTTGCCCTTCGCTAGGTAAAATGTGGAATAAATCAATCTCAACCTCTTTCAACATGCTTCCACCCACACTGTAGAACCTTCCCCGTTATCTCCCCTCTTTTCCCTCGCTCCCTCCCACCCTCGCTCCCTCCCTCCCCTCTCCCTTATTTAACTGCATAGCTTTGAGCATTCTGGAACTTGCCATGTAGACCAGCCTGGCTTCACAGAAATATACTTGCCTCTGACTCTCAAGTGCCTGATTAAGGACACAGGCCAGCATATCAGACCTGAACAAATCTCTTAACCTCTGGCCATTTCTTTTTAGTGAGAAGGTTCAAGTCTCTCCATCTAACACAATGGCCTGGAGAGATAGGTCAGCTGGTAGATGCTTGCCCAGCATGCATGGAGTCCTGGGTTTGGGCCCAGCACTACATTAAAATTGGGTGTGGTGAAATACAACTATAATTCCAATATTTGGGAGGTAAAGAAAGGAGGAGCGAATACTTAAGGTGTTGTCATCTACAGAAAGTTGAGGTCAACTGAGGCTACATGAGACCCTGCTTCAAAACAAAATCAAATCACCTCACAGCACAGTATATTTGTAGGTGAAAGGTCTCCAAACTGGCAGCAGTTATTTCTTATAGAAACTAGTAGAGGTTCCTTCTGCCATCCAGATGGGTGATTGCAGAGACATAGGCTGTTGTGTACTTTTTTTCTGGGCATGTAGGGCATGCCACATAAATTCTGGCTCATCAAAATGTAACCACACTTTGGAGTAGCCACATGGTCCCATGCACTGTGTTATCAAACACACACATAAGAGCTATCGTACACTTACTTCCTTGCTATGTACATCTGGCATGTAAGACCAAGCGCTTACTCAAACAAACTAGCCTGCTGATACAGGGTGATGAGGCTGGCCTTCAGTGCATTCATCTTTATTTACAACAATGTTGATGGAGGAGGCCCGAGTCCCTGATCACCCTAATATTCCGGCTCAGGAGACACAGGCTTTAAATGGGAAGGAAGATGTGTCAGGTGAAAGGGCCCTGTAGCTATCTATACAGGTATTCTAGACAGAGGCAGGGTTGGGCACTCAGCACTCAAGAGACAGTGCCACCCTGGGCTAATACCAGAAAGCCTTTCCAAGGCCTGGCTTACCAATTCACAGTGCCAAGTGACAATGCTCCCTGGGCCGTCCCCGTCTGCTCAAGGAACAAATCAGATGAGATCCTGTTGGATCACGCACTCTTCCATGTTTATACTGGCCTTTATGCAGCTTAAGAGAAGCTTGTTTGCCTGTTGCCATGAAAATGGAGCAATCGAACCAACCTTCTCTCTCTGCCTCCTCAGCCAGGATCTGCCCCATTCTCTGGACACCTACACACACACACACACAGCTACACACACACACCTACACACACTCACACCTACACACACACACCTACACACACACACCTACACACACACACCTACACACACACACACCTACACACACACCCACACCACACACCTATACACACACAGATACAGGGGGGGGAGGTAGGTAGAGAGGGAGGCCCCCTAAACAAAAACCCCAGCATGTGTTAGTTAAAGCGGGCTTGTGTCTGACCTGCAAGTTATCCACACCAAGGCCCAGAAAAGGCTGTTGCCTCAGGCTCCATCCCCCTAGAGGTGTGTGAAGCCTCAATGCTCAGCCCCTCTTTTTCCCACCTTTGGATCCCCTTCCTGCTCACACCAGCAGATCATCATATCAAAGGCCAGGGTGGTAAGGTGGAGTTGGGGGAACAGCTGGATGAACAAAGGACCCTGCTTGAACCCAGACTGTCCTAGATGTTTCAGAGCCTGAATGCAGACACTGTGTGCTTCCCCCCCCCCCCCCCGGGTTCCATCTTATCACCCAGAATTTCTTGGTGTCTTGTAATGAGGAGATGGTTCTACAAGAAGGCAGAAAAGGGAATACTGAGTCCAGAAGCTCTCAGTCACTCTGGTTTCCACAGAGCTTTCAAAGCAGCACCTTGGCCAGATGCTCAGTTTGTTTTTCGGGCAGCTTGGTAATGCAGGCTCCACTTCTCAGAGGAGAACTCAATGAGGACTGGTCCCTTGTTAGCAGGCTCTCTGCCCCTGAACACTGGCCACAGAGCAGGCAGGTGTTATACCGCACAGAGAGCTTGCCTGCTGTGTCCTCCTCTGTAGTCAGAGGTCCTGGGTTAACACAGGCACACGGTGGCTTTTGAACTTTAACCATGATCACCATATCCTGTCCTTGTTTTGTTTCTGAGATAGAGGCATCAGATCTCTTGGCTGGTGACCACACTTCCCCTGCTAAGCACTCTGGCCACAAAGCCCTGGTTCTGAAGTGAGTGAGTGAGTGAGTGAGTGCTGGCAGCAGGCTCTGAGGGTAGGTTTCACAGTTTCACATCATTTCATGTAATCTGGGTACCTGAAGGCTTTTTTTTTTTTTTTTTTTTTCTTCCTTTTTAAAGATGAGGCTACAAGTTGAAGATACTGAGAGCACATATGAGTACACAGTAGACATGCACAGCCTGGGCTGATGGTCAAAACTCGGCATCAATATCAGGAACATCGCCTATCTCCACAGGAGGTTTCTGGCCCAGACCCTCTCTCTACCACCTTTCTTAAGGAGGGATGGATGATTCTAGGCTCTCCAGAATAGGGCCTGGAGCTTAAGCTCTTCACCCTGAACAGCCTGTATATCTGGTTCCTAGAGAGGAGGCCAGGTGATGGAGACTTTGGCTGTATGTGAGCTGGGCAGAGGCCAAGGAAGCCAACTACCTATCACCTCAGTTCTGAGGACAACTGAAAATCTGGGTAGTGGTGTCTAGAAGCTGCAGGCATGTCACAGATGAGGGCTGTGTTCCTGCTAAGTTTCACCAATTAAGATAAGCCAGGAATGGGGGGTAGGGGGAAGGCAGTTGTTACCAGGAGATCCTGTTAGGTTTCCCTGTGAGAGTAAAGCTGGATCTGGAGACTTCCTTGTTCTATCATTTCCAGGAAGGGTCAAAGCTTAGTTCCTCTTTTATTACTTTGTTCCTCAGACTGCTTCCTTTACCTCTAACTTTGCCGTGAGGGATGCTGATGCAAGTCTAGGGCTCTCTTTCCTATAATTTCTCAGACTCTTGACATCTTTGGTTAAGTTTTAAACATGGGAAGAAAAGGAATGTTACGGAAAAGCTCCCATATATGCTAACACATAATCTACAGCGTAGAAAGGTGGCTCTTCATTCACATAGGTGAGGTACAAAAGACCACGGATTCCCATCAGTTAATCCCAGATCTGCATTGGTGGCTGCAGGGTAGCACACTGACAATTTCCTTTCTCTGGAACAGTTCCTGATTTCCTACGACCAAAAACTACACATACTGGTCATCAGTCTGGAAGCTTTCTGTTTCTGTTCCTACTAGGAAAGAGGAAGGTAAAAGATGAGGGAGGAAGCTAGAGGACAGTCGCCTTATGCAGATTACAGGAGTTTGTGAGAAGACACTTTCAAATCAATGGCATCCTTCTGGGCTCTTAGTTCTGGTTTACTCCACCCTTCTATCCATGCGGCTTGCCAGGTACCAAGGGCAGAATGTAGTTTACTGGTAAAAGAAGAGAAGGTACCCTGGGGACCACTGAGTCAAGGGGGCCAGGGTGAACACTGTTGACTACTGATCAGTGCATGTCAGAGAAGTGTTTAAGGAAGTAGAGAATTGGTCCAAAGTCACAGGAGCAACAGTGAATAGGAGTTATCTTAGGTTTAGCAATGAGAAGGTTTGTCCATGAGCTGCATTCAGTGACTTTAGTCAGAGAACACACAAGTCTAAGAGATACACTTAAGTCTAAAGGTTAACAGCCTCATGAAGATTAAGAACAGCCCTCCCATGTGGCAGAAACTGACATGATAAAAATAACAACTAACTCCTGGTTTTGTTTTGGATTCTGAGCAGGAGACAGAGATCACATGAGCTCACAGAAGTCTTCTTCACCAGAAGAAAAGTTGGCCAAGTAAATTTTGAGACTGTATTTGCTATGTTTCTCATTGCTATTATAAAATATCTGACAGTCCATCACAGCTGGGAAGGCATGAAGTGTAGCTCCATCTAGACTTATTTACATGACATTGGGCCTGGAAGCAGAGAACTTACGCTGGAACCAGGGACAGGTTAAACTTTCACAGGCTCATCCTTAGTTAACTTCTTCAGAGAAGTTACTTCCACCAGTCAGACCACACCTTCTAAATGATCCACAGCCTTCAAAATAGTGCCACAGACCCAGGACCAAACATTCAAAACAAACTTTCCTGATTCAAAACCTAACATTTAGCCCTTGATCCATAAAGCCCCATGCCATTCCACAATACAAAACACACTTAGTTCAGCTTCAGAGAAAGCCCTATAATCTTAACAGACTCAACATTGTCTGAAGCCTCAAAATTCGAAGTCGAGACTTAAAGCATGCTCAACCGTGAGACCCTGTAAAATCAAAATTTAAATTATATACTTCGGATATATAAAAAACATTCCCATTCTAATAGGGAGGAATGAGGGTAGAGCAAAG